TCGCTGTTCTCTCTCTCCCCCCTTCGCTGCTCTCTCTCCCCTACGGTACACGGCACCGTAAGACTAGTGTGGAGTTGCATTAGGCAACGCTGTGGTGGCTGTACTGCTCCAGCCGTCTCCTTTGTGTTTGTTTGTTTTCCCCCTGTCTGTGTTGTTTGTGTGGGCGTGGTGGCTGTCACTCCTGGCTCCCGGCTCAACCTCCACTCACCTGCTGCAATCAGCTGTGCACCCTCCCCGACTACACACCTGCTTTCCATCAAGCCATTTACAACGGCATATCAACGGAGGCTCCACAACCTTTCTCCGCCAGATCGTCAGGTATCAGCCGTATCTCGCGTCTCCCCTCCGGTCAGCACCGTAGTGTGGAGTTGCATTAGGTAACGCGAGATACGGCTGATACTTGCGCATTAGTTTCTGTTATGGATCAGTATCAACAGTCCTGCCAGTAACGTTACTATATTATCAATACTACTTTAGTTATAGCCTGATATATGATTGCTAACTTTACAATGTTGTGATGTGACTGACGTTAGCTAACATGCTAACGCCGGTCACTCACCAAGACAGCTCCATTTCTCTCCGATTGCCGTTATTTTTTCTAATCCTTGGCTGCTCCTGGTCTCTTGGACGCCTAGCAGGCTCATAATTATAATCATATGCATTCGAATATATATTTTCAACCTCTTCTGTGTCAAAACTAGCATTGTGATCCATGTTTATTCATACGTTAGACCGGCCGCTCTCCCCCTTGTTTCCCCCATGTTACGTCACACGCGGGAGGTCACGTGCGGAGGCTTTTTTATGCGGAAGTGAAAATGTCTTACTAAAACGACGCCAGATGTCACTGTAGTGTATATTTCTGTATATTTTTGGGAAAATCTAGTGTATTCATCAATTTCCTACACATTTATTCACTGGTGTCTCTAACCTGCAAGTTGCTCTTTAACACACAATCATGCTGCTGTTTTGACGGGCTGTTTGAGTAAGGTAGAGCTGTCTAGCGTAGAAGATCATATCCTTTGCCCCTCTGTCTGATGTAAGAAAGAGCCGGGGTGTTTTACAGGGCGAGATGCAGCCTCTCACAATCTGAAACACTCCGACCGCTCTTACAGAAAAGCCCTCTGGCCTTCCCTCTCCACAAGTTTCATCAGAGTGATCAGAGGGAAAGGATAGCCTTCAGGGCTAGTTTCTTCCGTTCACACAGTGGGGTATGAACACACACACATAGCTGTACACACACACATACACAGACACTGCGGTGCACTACACAAAACCATTTTTACATGACTTTTCGATTGCACTTCACACGTGTCAGAATACACTACAAATCTCCTGGAAATCATTGATTTCTACAGGTTTGTCTGTTCATCAATTCTTCATGAGCTGACTAAAATTGAAAAGGCAGTGTTGGTTAGACAAGTCGAAGCCTGTGTACTATGTTCGTAGTGCCCAAAGAAGTCTTGTATCTCACATGTGAGACGTGTCATATACTGTGTATGTATCTTTCAATTGCAGTGATATGATCTGTGCTTGAAGAATACAAACTCTTGGTAGTTAATGCAACCTCAGAAGTTACAAACCACCACACAACACCACATCCGCGTTGCTCAGCTGCAAGGCCTTGCAGACAACAAAGAGGTGCTTCAGCACAGTGTCTGCTTTAACTGTGCATGATTATCAAACAGTCATGAGACTGCATCGCATTTTAATTTCCTCTCTGGGGTTATCATCAAATTCTCTCCAGGATAGAAAAATACGAAAGAGTGAAGCGGGTGGCACGGATATAATTGAAGGTATTGGTTTATTGCAATACTAGTGAGGCTACAATATGCATATAGGCACTGATGAAAGAAGAGTCAGCAGAGATAGAACCAAGGTGATCTTATCAACTGTACTGTATTGAAGCACAGCACATTTGTTTCTTCCCATTTAGTGTGAAGAGCTTTTCTGAGAATCAAACAACATTTTTGCAGCCTCAAATTGTAGCGCAACAGAAATGAAAAGTAATTACAAAAAAACATTTGTACTCACAGGTATGTGTCTTCTTTGTTACTGAGATACCTGTAAAGAGAAAACAAAGAAACCATTAAGCATATATAGGAAACAACAGTAAAACATGTAGCACAAAATATATTTTATACGGAGCTCTGCTTAAGGCTAACTGAGGGTGAGGATGGTTATGATGAAGAGGTAGACCCTGTGGTCCAACAGACTGTCACTGTCCAAGGTCACCGAGGTGGCAGGCCCAGGGCAATTATTTGTGTATGCTGGTGTCTGACCTGAGGCCATGCTACATCAACATCCACGACAAGGTGGTGAAACTCTATCCTCTGCGGGCAATGAATACAAAATTATACTAAAACAAACAACATTTGGAATGCTAATTCTGCTGGGCAGTCACACTGATTGGACCTGAGCGCATGACTAAGCCTTTGGCCCAGAAGTGGATGGAGGCACTTTGACCTCAATGTTGGTGTTTTAATCCTTTATTTAATCAAGTAGTCTCATTGAGATTAGGATCTCTTTTTCAATGTATAAAATAATGTACAAAAAACAAAAAAGCACAACACATAAGCATAAATCAAAACAATCAGACAAATTAAGTCAGAATAACAGGAAAATATTTGCATGTACATTTAAAAGACAAGGAAGCTGTTAACCAATGAATGGTTTATTATGATTTTAAGAAGATCATGATTGATAAGAGAATCAAAAGCATTACAATCAAATTGAAATAATCAAGGAGGCAAAGTAACTATATTAATGAGTGATTTACTAGGAAAATTAAAAAGACCCAAAACAGACCCTAGTGTGACACCTTTCCTGATAAAATAATATTTTGCACCATTAAAATCAACCCCTCTAGACAGAAAATCATAGACTAGTTATCCTTTTCAAGATAATCGCAACGTTCATGATCTCGAAAGCTTTAATAAGTAATAAAAAGCAGAGCAATGATAATGTCACGAGGCAACAGGGTCATGTCATTTTCTAAATTCAGCCATTAAAGGCTAATATTACTTCCAGACAAGCCTGTGCTGGAGTCCATTAAAGAGTCCAATCATTTAGCCAAGCAGGTAGTTTTGAATTTGGACGGTAATTATTGTAATCAATGAGACAACCTTCCATATATGTAGAATTATACTGCATATAAGAGTAAGGTCAAACATATTAGCAAGCGGCACGGCAATTAAATCAGCACTGAGGCGTATGATGAGGGATCTAAATCATAATCATCTTTAGTCTTCCTACAATTAAACTCACCAGTTTAATATAAACCTCAAGCTGAGAGACAATATAAACCAGTAGATGTAGAAAATATTTGATAAACCATAGATAAGAAACAAGCAGTGTTGTGTGTTTTTGCAAACTGCTTATCAAACAAGTTGCCAGCCTGAGCGCTGTGAGTCAGACCTGGCGGATGCTGAGGTGGAGCGGGGCTGCCACTGCTCATGCTGCCTTTCCTCGCCCCTTCGGGTGTCAACTCATCGAGTGAGCCACTTTGGTTCTTGCTATGGCTCCGGCTGTTTCTCCTGTCTGCAACATTGGTCTAATGCCCCAGGAGCCTGACGCGGACGAGCGCACAGCCAGCCGTGGTCCCCAGCGGCCCATCGGATGCTCATGCTTTGCAGGGCGATAGCACACTAATAGATCCCACTTGTCATGCGGAAGCAATGGCTAATTTTTCTACAGCTTGCATTTGAAACTCGGGGGACGGCGAGTTGACATGATTCAATAACTCTCTGTAAAAAAGGCGTCTGGCCGGAGATAACAATGTTTCAGACACGTTTGAGGGGAAACGAGTCAAAGAGCAACGAGGGGGAAAACAAATAAGCCCTTCAGCCTCCTATAGACATACACTCAGAAACACATAACTAATATCAACTCCATGGAGCAGAAAGAGGGAAACAGTCACCTAGGGGCCAGCAGTCTGTGATACAGCTCTAGCATTGTTCCAGTGCTCAGGGCCAAAAGCTTCTGTTCTGTCCAACTGTGACATTACGCAAGGAGAAAATAAACAGTAATCCAGTCTTAATTTTACAATTCAATCAAATGACATGGATGCCAGCAAGGGCTGATGGTCCATTAAAGAGCCGTGGTCTCAAGGTGCTGCAAGCAAGGCAACTGTAAAAGCTTATATTAAGCAGTTAACTGGCTCTTTGTTTTGATGGGTGAGACAACCTCTTAGACCATGTAAGGAACATAGCTGGTGTGCTTAGTGGAAACTGTATTCAAAGGAAATAGCAAATAAGCAGCTTTTTCCTGGCTGTTTGTCAAGCATTGCTACAGACACAAAATGCAGACATTCACAGACTATTTTAGGGGAGCCTGGAACAATCAGTTATTATTTAATAATAGGCAATTTATTTCATATAAAATGTGACATATAACAGAAAAAAATTGCCTGAGTGTCTTTAGTGCGACCATAGATCTTGAAGTTGTAAACCACCATTTGCTTTGCAAAATGTTTTTAACAAAGGAAGTGAAAGACACAGGTCTGCGTGAGAGAGAGAGTGTTTACAATAAATGTGCGCTTTCGCCCAATGCCAGCCACAGAGACCACACTGAAGATACTCAGGAGCTGTCTGCTGTCACAGGCTGGGGAACTGATAAAGTCTACATTTATCTGGCACTGTGAATTGTCATGAAAACCTCAGATCTTCAAAGCTACTTTAAAGATGCAGTAGATAAACAACCATAATAATCATTATATATCCTTTTAGATACAATGAGGCCCACTAGACATTTTAATTAAAGTGTAATTCTGATACTTAGTTAACTTAAATTTACCGCACAATAGTTAAAATGCTATATCTAAAAGCTACATGAGGTCAAAACTATTTCAGGAGGAATATTTACTGTTAAACAACCCTGGGGAATTATTTGTGCAAACAAACAGTTTTGTTTACTGATCTTTGGACTTTTCTTTACACAAAGGATTGTGTGTATCTTAAGGCCCTACAGTATGTTCCACCAAATACAAATTCGAAGAAAAACCATTTGAAACCTGCTTTGTTTTAATCTTCCAGCATTACATTTTGCCTCTCTTATTTTTCCGCCATGCTAACTGTTGTGGCGTGTTATTGCAAAAATGCAATACCCTCTTCAGTCAGCAGAAATGTGTACCACATCAACACCATGCTTGTGGTGTGCAAGTGTGTCCTCATGCCTGTGCTAGAAAAACAAATGATTTATCTACTTTGCTCCTACTGGTCAGAAACTCTGCAGCATACTTTTAGAAGGTTTTTTAATAAGTCAATAAAGAAACAGATTCACAGAAAGACATACTATAAATCACAAACTTCCAAAAGAAACTCAGCCAACACAGCCAAAGCATGTTGTGTGAGTGTGTGTGTGTTAGAGTGTGTGTGTCTGTCTAATAAGGAGCCCTGACAAATGCAGTTTGTCTCCCACACGCAGCATCATGAACACCTAATTATATGAAAACAATTCCTTTCATACATTTGTTGTAAGGTGCAGAGAAACCCTCAATTCTATCCTTTTACAGCAAAGGCACATTTGGCCTGTTGCTATGCAGGTTGTAGGAACAGGAGGGGCGGTTAGTGGGCCCACTTCCTCCTCTGTGTGTCATTCAGAGCACTGTGATTGGAGGTGGCAAGGAGAAGGGGCCACAAAGCCAATGAGTGAGTCAGGCGGTGAGGAAGAAGGAGTTTGCTCTGGGCGCTGACATTGGCAATGCCTGCCAGCTCATGTCTTCTCCACTGGATGGCAGGTTCAGAGGTCACTGTGGAGGTGAATCTCTCCTTGGCTGATTAACAGGCTGCTGTAAACATGCTTTCAACTTAAGTATCAACGTAAATAAACAGCAATGTGCTTTGAGGAGATTATTTCTACAGGTACTAAAGATATTGAAGTTAAAAGGCAAACCTGTTGTCTGCACGAGCAGCTGAATTCTAATTTCCACATTACCATTTGTCACAATGGAAGGAGGGAAAGTTGTCACTGTTTGGCCTTTGATCAGTCGTATTTTCTCTAGCATTGGTAAACAATTCAGCATATATTCTCATGAGACATCGCCTATGCTATGGAGGAAGAGAGGAACTGTGCAGGTGACCTCCACCACATCTATCTGCAGGGGGGCACACATCCTGTAAACATGCCACTTAGACAGGAGGAGAGTGAGTCTGGGTTTTGGCAGCCACAGTGCTGCAACCGGCTGTAGAGCGCCGTGCCATCGCCGGCGTCTCAAAGTGACAGCGCTGTAATGAAGTCTGAGGCACATGGCAGGCTGTACGTCATAATTTCAGGTTCCTTAAAGCCTGACAGGGAATGATTATCATGGATGGTTATTGTCACCCTGCCTCCCTGGGAGACGAGGCGTGCTCTGGGGTTGTTGCACCGTGACATTCAAAGTTACAGTCTCCTTCATATAATGGAGCTGTCCTCTCAGCGCGCTAATGGGAGCGATCCATTTAACCTGTGCCAGAAACACACAGACGAGGAAGTTCCTAATGCGAGGCCTCTCCCGTGGGGACGTCACACTCCCCCCCTGGCTGCTCCCTTCCTGCTGCTTGATTCATTGACTGGCGCTCCTCACTTATCCTCATTCACTGTTCAGTCTGGGGAGACAGGGAGGCTCGCTTCCGGCCGCCTGCTCCACATGCCACTGATGCACACCCGACGCACACAAGGACACAGCCAGCGCAACGGCCCAGATGCAGGAAGAGCCGGCGAGGGCCCAGTGAGGGACGGGATAGACACCTACAGGTCAATACCGAAGGCCTCGGAGAATACCAACAGTACACAGTCCCTACAGTTAATAAGAGCTGTACAAAAAAAGTTATAAGGAGGAGGTTTGGTTATTGTCCTGTCTTAATGATGGTAGTTGTATGGGAATGTTAATTTTAGGCTACTCCTGAGGTTGCTGGTTAATGATGATGCCTAAGCCATGGTCATCTTAGGAATGATAGATTTAGCCACGTTCAGTAGTCCATCTTGTAAGTGCTGCTCCCTGCCCGACTGACAAATTGCTGCTACATTCCTGAGAGAAAATAATTAGAAGCAATGAATGTGTTTCTCTTCGCAGCCACCATACAGTAAGCCTCAGAAAATATGTTTTGCTGTTATTATTGGTGCTGTACAAATTTAATTTAGGACCAATTCAGGCTTGAAATAAACTAGAATATTCATTAGATGACTTGTTTAGGTAGTCTGTTTTGGCATGTTTACATGTATTTAATATATATTTAATAAAATAATGTAGTATAGGTTGAACAGCGTAAAGTGCAGCATAAGTACAAGGATAAGATCCAAAGTTACTCTTACCATAATGTAACTCATCTTATCAAAAGTCATACAACAAGATGGATGGGCTGATTCTAAGACCTCTGTGCTGTTCTAACTTTAACTGTCATTGGGAAGGCCAAGTTTCATACACAAAGTCATTTAAACAATCCTCCTTTTTGCAGTGACACACTTAGCCTTATTAGTTATTTTACTGCTATAAACCATAAATGCAAAAAATGTAATGATTAAAAAAGCACAATGATTCTAATCAGCTGCCCCCTAATATACTAAAACACTTAATCCATGGAGAGGCCAACTCTCTGGGGAGGCTCAAGAGAAAAATGACTTCTCTGTCTCCAGGCGCTGTTATTTCTGGTCATTTCTAATTGGTTTTAACTAAAAGCAACCACTCAGAGACTCCACAGGTTACTCCAATGCATCACTATGGAATTGTCTGCAAATAGAAGATATACATCCAATTTAGTTTTAGAGGACACCACAATTGTCTTTCAGAAGACGAAAGGAGAAAGGGCAGAAAAAAAAGCATAGATGTCTCACTGAGGAAGACAAGAAGTCTAAAGATCCCAACGGAGGACGATGTTATCAGGGTGACCCTGAGATCATAGAAGCCTGGGCCGACTTGAGGTACCATGTCACACGCACCTCGCCCCCTACACATGTCTCCCAGGTCTCATGTACAATGTCTCCCCCTGTGCAGTTCTGCATTGCTGGGCCTGTTAGTCTCCAGGTGAGTCCTCAGTGCTGTTTGGTGGCTCGTGAATTATACATTGCAGCAGAGGAATTGACGTGGCCCAGGAGGGCCGAGAAACAGCAGGCATGGCTAGGAGGCAGATTGAAGACTCTGACGGAATTTTAATTGTACCGCAGGGAACACTGCGATAAGTGCTATTGTTATTGGTAAGACATTGCTGCACAGGTTCACTAGCTGAGAGCTTTGAAAATGAGACGATCCAAAAACAACTCAATGTCCAAGGCTTTAACATTGTGCCAATAGTTACTAGTCTAAAGAGGATGGTTCACATCAGTGTCGGTCTAATATTTATCATTACGCTCTCTACACCCAGTATGCATCTGCAACATGCTCAGAGGACCAGTGAAGGTTGGCTATGGCGAAGGAAAACAAACTGGAACATTTACAAACTAAAAAAGGAGACGCTCAATCCGAAACCTCAGAGGCATGCCATTCAGTTTTATGTTGTGCGAATCTGTACAGTACTACAGGTGAAAAGCCAAAATGCAGCACTTTCTGCTGCTCTGATGTTGTTCACTCTGATCCTGACGATAGCTGCACTATACAGTAATTCTCCTCTGAGTGCAGGCAGGTCCCAGGGGGCCTGACGGATGCAGGAAGGCCCAGAGCGTTGGTCAAAGTGAGGCCAGGGGCACAGGCAGGCCTCTGTGTACGCTCTGCGCTGGCGGTTCCCAGCCCAGCGGTAATCTCCCAGTGATCCTGCCTCAACCACACATGAAACCCAATAGCCTTTCAGCCCGCACCATAAATAAAGGTACACCACATTGAGCAGACCACCCTGGCTTACTTTACAGCAGTCTGAATAGGCCACCACTGGGTGTGTTTACACACTTTTATATAAAGGCTTTAACTACAGATGTCAAATGGAGACGTTTTCAGAGGGAAGCTTTTTTCAAGCTGTGTAATTATTAGATAAAACTATAATTTAGGTTTTACAGTATTTTATTATTTACACAATGTACAAAGAAAAATACAACATAATTGCAACCATTTCAAAACAGAGGTTAGAGGTTTCTCAGCCTCTCCAACAGAAGCTTTCCCCAGGGACAACTCTTGTATATTTCTACTTACATTAAACTAGATTACTTTAGCCCTGCACAGGTAAATCTGAAGGGGAATACAATTACCTACAGCTCCTGAGGCACACACTCCATTTATGCACAATAACTTGTAAGAGTATTTCAGTCGACCAATAGAGATGTGCCCCTTAGGGCTCACTTGTTCAGAATTGCTTAAACACTCACAAGACGCAGCACACTGCATTTAGATAAAGAGGATCTCATTCTACAGTTGGATTAAATGTGATTGTTATTGTTTGTCTATTTTGTGTTTCCATACTGTAAGTCACAGGCCATCTACTTCAGGAAACCACAGCAGCAGGCAGCTTTTGCTAAAAGGTTAATGTTAACAGATAGAGTGTTTATTTGACTCCCCTGTACAAGCTTGTTGTGCATTTAAAATAATCTCAAGAATAGCAGCTATAAAAAATGGGATTAGAACAGGTGAGTTGACATGTGATCTGATATGTGATCTGACAGTAAGTGACAATCTGTTACCGAAGCTGTCCAGGTCTGTAAACACACTGAACACACACTCCCGCTTGTATAATCAACTGGGACTAGAGCTTTGATGACAAACTAATGTCAGCTAATATCAGCTCTATAAAGGCTGACTCAGAAATATATTGCAAACCTTTCATTACCCTCACTCATTCGGTCTCAATTCTCATCCGGTAAAGTACAGTACAGCAGACACTCGTCTAATGAACAAGGGTCTATGGGGAAGGATCACTCTGTGTGAGTGTGTTGGAAGTCAAGGTCCCACAACAGTGGACTCGTGGCTCTGCTGATAAGGACTTGGCTGTAATTGCTCAAAAGGGAGGGAACTGCAGCCCCATTAGGTCTGGTCTTAGCACTTGCCAATAAGCCAAACTGCCCCTCTGAAGCCTCCCATGTAATGAAAACTTCCTATGAGATAAATTACATGTCTGTCAATCCACTAATTAATATCACAGACTCGCCTCTTTGGCTTCTCCACATTAACGAAATGAGGGAAAGCGAAATAGTTTTTTTGTGAGCACTGGAAGCCAGAAAGAAAGGAAGAGCAGAGGCAAACTAGCGAGCGCGCTGCTACTGTGATTCACTGCAGTCATGGTCGGCACTTAGTGCAGCATCTATTTTTCATGTATTTCATAATTAAAACCTGCGAGTTCTATAAGCCCTCCATGCTCCATGCAGATCAAAGGTAGTCCTATTAGCAGGGAGTTCATCAGTAGAGCCACTCTTCCATTTGCCAGGCAACAGAGCCATGCTTAAAGCACAAATATCCTGTAATTACACACATGTGTGATAACGGGACAGCCACAGAGCTGGACTATGATTAATAGAACACAGATCACAGTTTCCTTTCCTGTTCAAAGCTAACACAACAGAGGACTTTACACACGAGGATAACCCATGCGTAGCAGATAAAGAGGTTGATGAAAGACTGAATACATATATCACACATCGCGTCTTGTGGTGCAGGTGGAGTGTGATTCAGTTTGTTGCCTTCTCCCTCCCCGCTGCATTCTCTATGTAAATGTAATCGGAGGATAACACAGGATAAAGCTCTTCAGAGCGAAGACATGATGCCTCACTTCTGCGGGGATAGAGGGATACAAACCTACCTCACATGGTGTAATCAAAAGAGGGAGCTGTGTTATGTTATTCATTCGCCCCATTGACTCTTGGGTAGCTGGATGTCACAAAGAATCCTGGGTGGAGGCTCAGTTTGATAAAGATTGTTTTCCCCCATCAACACGAGAAAGCTTTTATTTTTTTAAATATATGAACAAAGGGTATATATACCGTTAATACCTTTGGGTCGTTTTATTAGATATATTTGTAAGATTTTATTCTGAAATGTAGTGGAGTAGTATATGTTGACTTATGAATCAAATATTCAACCCAAGCCCCTCAGAATGATGATTAAATACAGTACTTCAATAAAATGCACTTAGTATCTTCCCACCTCTCATGTCTTGACCACATCACCACCCACAATCAGAATCGATAAGCCTCATACAGTGAGTTTAAAATGCATACATTTATACTGCATCTACAAACAGCCTACTGTATCTTGTAGGTTGTAGCTACAAAGCTTCCTGATGTCGTTATTCTTATATCGTTGTCAGAAGAAGAATTTGGGGTGAAGTCACATGTAAAAGGAACTATAATTAGCAATACAAGCATTTGCACACTCATAGTCATTGCGGTAGAGATGTTTATGCTTTCTTTCTGAAAGAATAACAATCCTCCACCAAGTTAACAAGCCAGTAAACTTCCTCCAGGCACATGAGGTCAGTCACAGTTCATGGTACACCTTACCCTATTATAACAACTGGACAAGGTAACAGGAAGGGCCTGTGTGTTTTTTAAGTAGGAAGATGACCACGGTAATATACCCTCCTAATGTTACACAATAAAACAGGGCATTGTTCCAGGAGGCACAGCAGACAACATCCTGCAGCCAGGTTACAGAAAGAGACAGAGGGCAGGAGTTTTACACGAGGGAAACATCCAATCATCAACAACAATCCCAATGCTGGCTAAAACAAAGGCACCTTCCCTGGGGTTTTCAGGAAGGCTTTGTGTCATACTGCCAAATCTTTAAAAAAAAGAATCTACGTTATAATATCCTTCATGCAACTTTCAACATTGCGATATAAACGGCCAGACGCATACTGTAGTAAGAAGAGCATACAGTATAAACAAATGGCCCGATACGCATTACAGACATCCACAACATATGCACAGACAGCCCACTGACACTCAATGCAATGAGTCAAGAGGGGTCTGAGGTTTAGGCTGTGAGCGACTATAATGCAGCCGCAGCCATACATCCTCAGCAGTATGAAAGCTTGCAGCCGTGGCCGGCAGTAATAATTAATAGCATAGTCTATAAACATTCCATTAGGTGCAAGCAGCTGTCATAAACATCTTAATTAATTTACAAAGCAAGCAACTAGGGAATTATGGCGACGTAAAAATCTGCTTCCCTCTGCCGCTCCATAGCACTGGAACAGATCGGGCTTTTAAATTTTTAAACATGCCTTTCATGTTCTCTAGAGCACTAAAAAGCCTTTGAACAGTCAGCTTGTTAGGAGATGCACCTAGCAGCCCAATACCTACGGGTCGTCTTGCTATTCTTTTCATACAGTGACAAGAGGTTTTGGGTGGCTCTTTGCAGCTTGAGTCAAGGAATCTCTCTCTTCCTGTACGGCGTCTACCCGCCCACATATTTTCTTTGTCACCGTGACATAACTGTACTGTTTTTTTGTGCCAAATACTCAAGCTAAGCTATCTCTGTCCATCTCCATCAGTTTGCCTATATGTATTTTTATTTATTTTTTAACAAAGAACACAAACATATAGTATAGCGACCCTACAGATGAGAAAACAATTTCAACTGTTTTCCGTGAATTACATTTGCATATTTTAATCAGAAATATATAACAGCTAGAGCATTAACAACAAGGCTTCTACATCCAAAACAAAGTCCTCCCACTGTGTGCCTTATGTAAGAGGGACACCCTCCTGAGGATACGGCATGGTGCAGCTGATAGGGGGAAAAGATCGAGGATGCCACTCTTGCACTGCACTGTAATCTGGGCAGTGTAGTGCCACAGCACGGGTCAGAGTGTTGTGGTACAAACTGGCTGCCTTACCTGCTCTCACTCAGAGAGGGCAAGATTAGACTGGCCACTCCATTATTGGAGAAAGGCTTAAGAGCATTTCCACTTTCAGAGCTAGGATATCAGCAGCTTCTGACACTAAGCAGGGCTGACCCATCATTTTGGCGGGAGCTGAGAAGAGGGTGTCAGCTGTCTGCACAGAAATACGGTCGGGTCTGGGCTTAAAATCTTTTTTTTTTAACCACTGTGGAAAGAAAGAAATACACAGCACTAACAGACAGTAGTAAATGTGTGAGTATTTGATAAGAAACACCTTCCCATTTCATTTATATATATATTCACCATCTACAATTATGAATCAATTTAACTATGCATAACATCTACAGTATGCCATTTACCAAGCCGACATTGAATTTTAATGTGCCCATTACTCTCTGATGATAGCCAGGCATCAAATATCCCTTTTTTCTCACTCCCATTCTAACCTGTCTCTTTCTCCCCATCTCTCTACATAGCAGCCCATGCCATATTTGCTTAACCCAGTCAGTGTGACAGCACTCAATGCTAAAGCACTCCCAAGGCAGATGATCAAAGTCAGCAGTCAATTCACATTACAATGCATTGATTTGATGTTTCCTAACCTCCCAGGCCTTTCTCTAATGCTGCCAAGGACCTTCAGGATATTTCACAGTGTACCTCCTCTCCCAGCTTTCCCGGTCTCCCTCTCTCTTTCTATGTGTGTGTGTGTGTGCGTGTGCGTGTGCGTGTGTGTGTGTAACTGAACATATGGTTGACAAAGATGTTACTCTGGTCATGTTTGCATTTGATTTGATATTCAGTCAAAACGGGCGGTTAAAAAAATAACAGGACTGACTCAAGCACAACAACCATTCATCTGAGGTGCAACCACTTCACAACTATCCTCCTTTCACAAGGTAATTACTGCCCTTCATTCAACCTGCGGTTTCAAATATTGTTTTAGAGTAAATCACTCCCTGGTTCTCATATACCACACTTCGTTTGCTTCTCATCACTTATTCATTTGCAGTTCTTTATTGAGTTGGCTTCTATGCTTTACTGACTGCCATTTCCTTCTGAGGGGTATGTTCAGAGCACTTCCATGTTTTATTCAATTATGAAAACCTAATATGGTGGAAAGGTGTGCATGGCGCTCACTCATAACTATGCATTATTTCACACACATGTATTCTGCCTCTGTTGTTGGGCAGCAGAGACTTGAACAAGCAGCCTAAACACATGCATGCTCTTTTGTTCCTGGTTTTGACCCCTGTGTACGGGGTTAATGAGAGGAGACACACAGTTACCATGTCCATGTTTCACAATTGAATCTATTGCATGTGTCTTGCTTTTGGAGGGAGGAGAATTACATTTTTTCTCTCCACTCAGAGGTTGTCAAAACGTGTAAGCATCATGGCCATGGCACAGTGACACACTGACCTACAAGCACAAAAGAGAACTTTGACTGCTGTAATAAAGACACACACACACACACACACACACACACACACACACACACACACACACACACACACACAGAAAGTGCATGGGGAGGAGAAGGAGCGAGGGAGTGTGAGAAAGAGGGAAAGGAGGAGAGAGGAATAAGAAGTATTGATTTATGTAAGAGAGGCATTCCTTAAACAGCATTAGTCACCATGGTTGTGTGAAGCTACCTAGCTCTTTAATTATTCCTCAGAACGCAGACGAACTCAGCCTGGCGTGAAGAGCGCCTATTGATTTCTGACTGGCAGATGGGACACACTTACTTATAGCAATTCACAGAGCAGGTGGATGATCAGAAACACAGGGATGTCAGTTACCCCCTACTCATCTACAGAGCAACAACAGAGCAACAGTTAAGACTGGCCATTAGACAGCTAAGTCAAGCTCAATAGTACTTTAGGTCAGACTACAGAGGGAAGAGGACCTGTGGTTTCGTATTAACTGTATCCAAACAGTGAGAGAATCCTGTTGTGTAAAAACACAGTAAGAGGTCTCGCCAACAGAGAGGAAGATAAGATGAGCTAAATGTTATAAAGCTGACTGTAAGGACAGGGTTTAAAGAAAGTTGATGATGAGATAGGGGGTACATAAATATGTATGTTCTGATTTGTAGGACTGAAACCAATAATTGACTTCATGTTGTAGTTTTTCAATTAATTAATTTTCTTTCTAATTTTAAAGAAAAATGTCCAAGATGACGTCTTTAAAATTTCTTATATTGTTTGACCGACAGACTATATCCAATCTGAAGCCAGGTAATGTATATTATCATTCATTAATAATAAAGTGATCACCGGAATTTTTCATTCAAATAATCAAACAACCGATTGGAATGGAATCATGATCCCTATTGCAAAGTTTGAGTTTCATTTGTGTGTCTTTGGCTAAGCTCCTGTATATGTATGGTGTGTGTGTGTGTGTGTGTGTGTGTGTGTGTGTGTGTGTGTGTGTGTGTGTGTGTGTGTGTGTGTGTGTGTGTGGATGAAAGAGACAACTACAGACAGAGATGGAGTGTCTGTGTGTGCTCAGCACAGTTACATACGGTAAGTTATTTGCCCAAAAGACCAGCTTTGAAGAACAAGAAGGATATTTAGAGGACATAATCAAGAACTGTAAGAGTGGATATTTAATACTATGGTTTTGGCTCCTTGATACACTTAATCTGTTGTAGGATAATAAAATGTTTCAATTATATATCAAATAATCCATAACACATTCAAAAAGGCAGTGGAAAGCCTTAGTATAAAAGTCCATCTGTCTTGCTAGTAGGAGCCGACTGCTCATCTTCTGTGAGGTCTGCGTTTTAAAGTGCTACTCCATTGTTATTTTATGAGAGGGGCTGAACGCAGAGCCAGAGCCCAGTCTGAGCTGTGGGGAGAGAGGGAGAATTTCCCTGCATGGCTACACAATACACAGACAGCACATTTAAAGATGTCAGCCCCTAACTGGAGAACAGTCATTGAGGTGAACCCACTAACCCCATGTCTTCTGCACCATGTCTAGCCAGCCTGCTCTGGAAACCCCCGGTTAAAAATGCATTTGGTGTGCATGTAGCTGCAGCGACGGGCAGACCGTGCTATGGGGCAGGCAGCGAGCTGGTGGGCTCACATGTGCAGCTCACAACCCTGGTAAGTGAAATGCCACTACTGTATGCCTTATCACCGCTGCTCCCCCTGCACTTACATAATTTACACGAGCGAAGGGAGGGGAGGACAGCAGGGGGGGTTGGGTCGAAGAGTGTGGGGGGGGGGTAGCTACGGGGAGCTCACGTCCAATTGCGTTTGGCCATGTAGAGAGACAAACACGGCAGGATGAGGGGAGCTCATGCCACAGCGGGCTTTGATGACTACATGCTGAGACGCCCCCTACGACATGCTGATAGACAGCAAAAAGACCCCACCCCTCCTTTGCATTTACGAAGCCAAGCAGAATATAGACGCAACAGGAACAAGGCAGTGAGTCTGAGCACATTAGAGGTGCACTGATCCAAGACCTTGGCATGGTTATTTATTAATCAGCTGAGCTTAGCTAACTGCCTGCTTAGATGAACAGCACAGGCTTGTGGTACATTGCAGCATCAGCCACAAGACAGCAAAACTGTTGACATAATGCAACTTAAAAGACATGATGCGTATACTTCAGAGAAAGCTGTTTGCTATGGGGATTTTGCATTTCCTTATATTTTCCTTATATTTATGTAGCAGGTCTTACTTTTCTATTAAAGATCCCAGAAAGTGGGAACACAATATAACTAACACAGAGGACAAACAATCTAAAGCTTAGCACTGTAAATGTATTTGTCTGCAAAACAAAACATTACTATGTGATCCAAAGTACATACTGTCAAGAGTGAACAGCAAACAAAGAATGTTTGCCCATTTGCACACTATTCATCTCCTAGGGTGAAGTACGTGATGAGTAACAGCATGGCGATGTTGTCGGTAAATACACTCCAACATACACAAAATCACCCTTTTCATGTTGTACTTTTGGAGTTCGCTGGCACCGCAACACCGAGCGCTGACAATGTTTTTTTTCCGCCAATTTCAACACCTCACAGTTGGGGTGTCAGCACATTGAAATGGTGTTGAGAAACATAGCCTTTTAACTGAGAAGAAACATCTCTTGGAAGAAAAAAAAACTGAGAAAAGGAAAACAGAATGGGATGCAATTCTCCAGAGTGTATCCCCCCCATGTCTCTTCCACTGTGTTTTTGGCAGGCCGGGTAATACACAGGAAAGCACTGGCACACAACACAACACACAAAGGGAAAACATCTCAGCCTGGAGTTTGGGCTTCAGAGACTAATAGGAGGCTTGCACATCACCAGAGGGAAAATACGTGATAGGCTGTCCATTGGCTTATACTGTTGATGCAAGCTTTACAGACTGAAGTGTTTGTGTTAAGTTCTTCATTACCTCAGGAGCAATTTAAGGAGGTACCATGAAGGAGCAATGGAGGTTTCGCAAAACATTTGAGGAGCAGGCGGTGTACAGGAGATGGTGTACAGGAGAGGTAGAATATAGATGTGGTCATTACTAGACCTTCCTTTCATCATTTCTGAAACTACCTCACACACTCTCATTCCAACAGACTTCTGCAGCACTGAGCTGAAAGAGCCTAAGCCTCTTGGACGGTTCATTTAGGATAATGCAATGATGAGAAACGGGGAGGGAGTATGTTAGTGTGTGTGTGTGTGTCGGTTTTCGAAATCATGTCTGATAAATGTATCTTTTCAAAATGTCTCCTCTGACTCACGCGCATTTCAAGTGAGATGCAAAACACGTCAGCGAAGACAAGAATGATTATATTCCTAACCTGCTAAAACACAAAAAGGCAATCTAAAGTGCAGACGTATCATTATTTGATGAATTCAAACAACACAAAAAAGATATTTCAAAATACATTTTCACATAAAAAAGATGGAGCTGAAATTATCTGGGGGCTTTTTT